GGGGGCTAAGTAGTTGGGCCTTGTTAGAATCCCACACCGGAAAAGTTTGAATCAACAAAGTGCTATATTAAGACATGAGCTACTCCTCCTATCAGGTTTCGACCCCAAACATCTGTATAGATTAAGTCTAGAGGTCCAAAGCTCGAAAGAGATGATTTTGCAAATGGCAGCTTATGGCTTTTATTACTAGCACACGAGACACATAGAGAATTATTCGTAGTAACATCAGAAAAGGAAATACCTAAGGAAGACAGAATTTTTTAGTAATAGGGAGGGCAGGAAGTCCTAAGCGACAGTGCCAATTATTAAGGGAATATTTTTGTGTGATGTGAGCAGATGGAGATGGTGGAGGGGGTACATCTGGCAAGCTTTAGACGTCTCCTTTATTCATACCCCGTAATAAAATTGCTCCCGTTAGCCGGTCCTTAATAAGACAAAAGGAAGAATGAAATTCAATTAGTACATCATTATCACGACATAATTTGGCGACAGAAATTAAATTGGTATGAATAGAAGGGACAAAAAGGGTATTAGGTAGAGAAAGAAAGTGAAGGGTCATATGCCCAACTTGTGGTATCGCAAGACCTTTACCGTTACCAATAACGAGAGAATCAGTGTCAGTATAATCGGATGCCAAGGTAAGATTATTCAGGTTGTTGGTGACATGATTGGTTGCTCCAGAATCAAGTAGCCAGCCATTGTGTCGAGTGACAGCCATACTGACTTGAGGAGGGTAAGCTTGTTGTTCAAACCGATGCCAACAGTTGAGAGCAGAATGGTTCGGTTTCTCACAAATTTGACATGTAACATTGGCCCCGAAATTACCAATCCCCGGGCTGTTCCGGGCTGCCTGGTTGGTAGTGGGTCCCCCAAAATTGTTATTGCCACGTCAGTTGGGACTGTAATGGGTATTGGGCCGCTGGTTTCTGGGCTGAGTCCGATTGGTGTTGCGGGCCGAATAATTAGGGCGACTGGGCTGGTGCTGTAATTGGTCCGACGGTCCAGGGACCAAAACAGAAGGGGTTGGATCTCTGCGCGCTACAAGGGCTGCCGACTCCCCTGTACTTACGTTATTAGCCGTCACCACAGCTACTCCTCCTATCAGGTTGACCTTTTAGGATTGAACCTCATGTCTTAATATAACACTTTGTTGATTCAAACTTTTCCGGTGTGGGATTCTAACAGGCCTCGAATGTCTGGGACCTGTTTAGATACCATACTATTCAGGGTTTAATCAGTCACTCAATACTCATACCCATAAGTGAAATCCATTTTATTAGTTAGTTCAACCGAAAGTCTTATTGACCTATGAGTTATTTACTTGTCTGGTGTGGGATTCTAACACTTATTACTGATTTGAGATGCTTTCAACAGTACTTTCGGCTTCAGGTGGGATCAAGGTGGTCCGTCCAGCATTGAGTAGTGGTACTACCCCCAGTTCAAAAGATTTCAGAAGCTATATATTGTTTCTTTGCTCGTGTATTATCAGCTTATTGCTGCAAGTTACTTACATAATCTTGTTTTTGTAATCGGTCATATCCACAGATGTAGTTGTGCTTGTAGCAGTATTTATACTAGTTGGGTTGTTTAGCATGCAACACTATGGTACTGACAAGGTTGGATGGCTCTTTGCCCCGATAGTACTTCTCTGGTTTCTACTAATAGGGGGTATAGGCATTTACAACATCTGGAAATACGATAGCTCAGTTTTGAGGGCCTTTTCTCCTGTATACATATATCGGTATTTTAGGGGGGCAAGGAAAGATGGATGGATATCACTTGGAGGAATAATGTTAAGCATTACAGGTTTAATTACTTATATTACCTTTTTTAATCTGCTTGATCTTTAATAAATTTGAAGCATCTTGGCCTAATAGTTCCTTTCTTGAACACACAATGTTGGCAGGGACGGAGGCACTTTTTGCTGATATTTCTCATTTTCCTCTAGCAGCAGTCCAGCTTGCATTTACCGTTATTGTTTTTCCTTGCCTTCTTTTGGCCTATTGTGGCCAAGCTGCCTACCTCACAAAAAATAAAGAGCATGTCATCTATGCATTCTATCGTTCTATTCCAGGTTTGTAACATTGAAATCTGAAAAGATTCTTAACTGATTCAGGATCACCTAACGAGGTCATAATCCACATAATCTGAAAAAATAATTTCAACTTTTACCATACACAAAAGAAAAATACAACACAGGCTCAAAGAGAAACTCAGTTTTTTTTCTGCAGACAGGATATATTGGCCGGTGTTTATTGTGGCCACTCTTGCTGCCATTGTTGCAAGTCAAGCCGTTATATCTGCTACATTTTCAATCATCAAGCAGGCGTTAGCACTAGGCTGTTTTCCAAGAGTTAAGGTTGTACATACATCTAAGAAGTTCCTCGGACAGGTGTACATCCCAGATATCAATTGGATCTTAATGCTTCTTTGCATAGCTGTCACAGCTGGATTCAGAAACCAGAGTCAAATCGGCAACGCTTACGGTGAGTTAGTTCGTTAGCCCGTAAATGAATGAAATGAATTTCAATTACAATCGAGATTATCTTTGCGTTGGAATATTTTTTGAGTTTTGCCGCAATTAATTTGAGGTGGGTAAAAACTAATTCCGCTAGAACCAATGCTCTTCCACCACAACAGGCACAGCGGTGGTTATAGTCATGCTGGTCACCACGCTTCTCATGGCCCTGATAATGTTGCTAGTTTGGCACTGTCATTGGATCATCGTTGTCATCTTCACCGTACTATCGCTCATGGTGGAATGCACTTACTTCTCGGCGGTCCTTTTCAAGGTCGATCAGGGAGGATGGGTCCCGCTTGTGACTGCTGCAGCATTTCTCGTGATCATGTATGTTTGGCACTACGGGACGGTGAAGAGGTATGAGTTCGAGATGCACAGCAAGGTGTCGATGGCGTGGATTCTCGGGTTGGGCCCCAGTTTAGGTCTGGTACGAGTTCCCGGTATAGGTCTTGTTTACACAGAGTTGGCAAGTGGGGTCCCACACATCTTCTCACACTTGATCACAAACCTTCCCGCCACACACTCAGTGGTGGTGTTTGTGTGTGTGAAGTATCTACCCGTCTATACGGTTCATGAAGAAGAGAGGTTCCTCGTGAAACGTATAGGGCCTAAGAACTTCCACATGTTCCGATGCGTCGCAAGGTTCGGTTACAAAGATCTCCACAAGAAGGATGATGACTTCGAGAAGAAATTGTTTGACAACCTTTTCGTGTTTGTGCGCCTTGAGTCATTGATGGAAGGCTGCTCGGACTCTGATGAGTGTGGACAAAATGTCTTGTTGGATGCATATTCGAGCACGGACCCCACGGTATCCTCAGTGAACTCCATAGTGGCAGTAGAGTCAATAAGCAGCCAGACAGAGGTCGTCAATGAATTGGAGTTCTTGACTGCGGCTAGAGATGCAGGGGTGGTACACATACTTGGGAACACAATGGTGAGAGCTGGGAGAGATTCTAGGTTCTATAAGAAAATTGCCATTGACTATGTATATGCCTTTCTTAGGAAAATATGCAGGGAAAACAGTGCAATATTCAATTTGCCTCATGAGAGTCTCTTGAATGTTGGACAGATTATCCAAGTGTAACTGCTTGTCACCCTCGATAAGAAAATTCCCTTCTAGCGTGTTTGACATTGAATTTTGCTTCTTTAAACTCAGAAATTCTTTGTTGTATCATGTATGTACAAGAATGTGACTTGTTAGTGTTTATTGGCATTGATTCGACTCTACTACGTATGAAATAAAGAATCACTTCCAAGTGTCTAAATTAGATAACTTTTTGCTTAGGCTGATTCTTGCATAAAATGACGAAAGCAGTCCATCACACATGTTTATTTATGTTTGTATCTAACTATCTATATTTAGTAAGAATTTAATGACTAAATAAAAACATAAAAAGTAGATGCTTGTTTCTTAAAAAAAAGTACACACTTTGGTGACACTAGTGTAACACACGGAACCCACACGGGTAGCACAGTTGGTCGAGTGGTGGGAAAATTGGACCAAGTGACCAAGGTTTGAAACCCGCAGCGGCCGTGTGGAGGTTATAGAACCTGAAATAAGGTTGGACCTCTGGTGCGCACGTGTATAAGGCCTACCGCCGCTTTGCTGACTGAGTCACCGTGATTAATCTCCCCACCATCCTGTCGTATCGGGGTGGGGGCCTTGGGGTTGGGCATTCAACCTTTTGGACCAAGTGTAACACACGGAGCATGCCCCGATGGTCACTCTGGTAAGTACTCAATTAATTTTAGTATATATAAAATGAAGAGAAAAAGTAAGTCATTTTCTCACCCCAAAAAACGGGTCAAAAATTAGTTAAAAGGAGTCAAGCGTAAAGCAACCATCTTCAAATGCTCTAGAAAGTAGAAACTATATGTACACTCATTTGTCTCTTTAGGTCTTGAGTAAATGCGTGATCATTGATTGATTCTTCTGTGCAAGTATTCTTCTGTACCATGGAGCTATACATAGTCGCATTTCCAGGTAAATGTCTGCTTCACACGACATATTTCGAAGGAAACTCTAAGCTTCAATCCGTTTCTGTATAGAGCAATACCCCTTATACCGGTACTCTCCTTGAGTTAGTAATTGAACTTGAACATGACATTTTTTAGTATATATCAGTACTGCACTTGAAATAATAATTGTATCTAGCTAGATGACACGTATCAGTAAGCAAAGATATTTTGTTTTCCATTCTCGCATGTATTATTACTCTTCTTTGTAGTCATAAATCTTCTTCAAGGGCTTTTGTTCTTAAATTAAGGTTGTGTTCGGCACACCAATTCCAGCTAAAAAAGGGCTGAAGTCTTTTAAATTCCGTCAATTAGGAGCAAAGTAGACTCGTTTGTTTGAGAGAGCTGAAATGGGCTTGAATTGAAAAAAGTGGGCTGAGATGGAATGTTTCCCTCCCTAGCATCTTGAATCAGTCTCTCAATTCCAGACTTCACATTCCAGTTATATCCCTCACTTCGCACGCATACATATATTCATCTAATCATCTCTCCATAGTTCCTTCCCCATCGCCGCCCATTCTTTCTGCAATTGATTTGTGTCAATGGCTTTCTCATCATGATTTGTTAAGCATACTCGTTTTTCACAAGCTACTTCACAGTACCAATATGATCTCCATGGCAGATTAATGAGTCTGGTTTTTATTGTAATACTGCATCTTTTTATTAATAAAATTGTTTTTTCCTCAAAAAATGAAATTGCTTGGTCTTTTAGAACTCCAACATAGAACTCCCGTTAATTTAATCTCATCTGCAACATAGAAGAGTATTTTTCACTTTCCATAGAACACAGACTCACGATTCAGGAATTCACTAGAGCACGAAAACAAATCTTAGCTTAAGATCAAACTAATACACTTCTGAGTTTTGTACGTAGTAACATAATGGTTAGAGCTAACTAGGCTCAGGCCACTATGCAGTAGGCACTAACTTCATTACCATTTATCTTTTTGCATTACACTTAAAACTATGATGTCATATGTTTGGGTGGGTTCAAAAAGTTGAAAAATTTCAGTTTTTTGAGGAAAAGCGGTCCTGATTCCCTATTACCGCTGATGTTAAGAGTATGCAAGAACAAGAGGAGCGAACATTTGTTCATGGTGTTTTAGCTGGGCTTGGTCCACAATATGAGGTATCAAGGAGTCAAATACTGTCTGGTGGGACCCTTCCTAGTTTTTCTGACCTCCATGGACGTCTCTTTCCAGTGTGCAAAGATGGAGAATCCAGAATGATGAACTCGATTGATACTGCTGCCTTAGTCAGTGATGTGAGCCATGGTAAAAGGACGAATTCAGTCACTACTGAAGGGACTCGTAATTCTTCTCGTACATGGTATCACTGTGGAGCTGAGGGTCATGTGAAGAAGAATTGCTGGAAATTACATGGTCGTTCACCACAGACATCTGGACAGCCTCCTAGGTGTGTTGCTAATATGATTATCCAGGATGGTATCCTACCAACTCCTTCCACCGTTACTATCTTAGTCTATGAATATGCTTGGCCACAACAACTTTCTCTCACAGCCTCATCTGCCACCACACAAGTTTATATAGGTAATCCTGTTGCATGCCTCTCTACATCATCACGCAATTGGGTGATCGATTCATCTGGCGCAACCGACCATATGACTGGTAATGAAAATATTTTGGATTTATTTACCTCTTCTACTAACCAGTCTCATGTTACTTTAGCAAATGGATCAACTGCATCTGTCAATGGCCTTGGAACAACAACTCTTTCTCCAAACCTTTCTCTATCTTCTGTTTTATATTTGTCTCAATTTCCGTTTAATTTAATCTCAGTCAGTAAGATTACTAAAGCCCTAAATTGCTGTGTTATTTTCTTTCCCACTCATTGTCTTTTTCAGGATCTTGGGACGAAGCGGGTTATTGGTAAAGGAAGACTGGTTAATGGCTTATATGTTTTTGAATCCTTGGTGCCGAGATCAGTTGCATACACAAGTTCGTCTCTGTTGAAAGTTCACTGTCAATTTGGTCATCCATCTCTTTCTGTACTACAAAAAATGTGTCCTAGTCTGTCATGGGAGTCCGTTTTGGAGTGTGAAGCATGTCAGTTTGCTAAGCATCATAGAACAACTTTCCTTCTAATAAATAAAAGTGTTGAGTCTAGTTTTGATTTAGTTCACACTGATATGTGGGGTCCTTGTCTTGTCATTTCCAAACTTGGTCATCGTTATTTTGTTACCTTTGTGGATGATTTTTCACGGGTTACTTGGCTTTATCCTTTGAAATCCCGTTCAGATTTGTTTACTGCATTTTCTACCTTTCATTCTGAAATTCAAACTCAATTTAATAAGAATATACGCATTCTGAGAAGTGATAATGCTAAAGACTATTTATCTAGCACTTTTCAGACTTACTTATCTCACCATGGGATTTTACACCACACTTCTTGTCCCTATAGACCTCAACAAAATGGTGTAGTTGAACGAAAGAATCGTCACCTACCAGAAGTAGCTCGAGCCTTAATATTTCACATGGGGGTTCCTAAACCATTTTGGGTAGACGCTATTTCCGCTGTGTGTTACCTTATCAATCGTATGCCTTCTTATGTTCTTCATGGTCACATTCCGTACTCCATGTTATTTCCCTCTCAGTCCTTGTTCTCTCTTGTGCCTCGTGTGTTTGGTTGCACATGCTTTGTCCAGGATATGCATTCCCAGGTCTCAAAACTTGATCCTAAAACAATCAAGTGTGTTTTTCTGGGTTATTCCCGATTACAAAAAGGATATCGATGTTGTCACGCCCCAGACCGCATCTAGGCACGTGTACAACCGCCGTATGACCAAGTAACGCCACTCGCAAGTCAACGTGTCTTAACCTTACAAGGCATCCATGAACATAATATATATCCATACTCAGTAGTAAACATACACAACAACATCACAATTTAGATTAGTTGAATAGTGGAAATATTCAATAATCACTCGTGGGCCACACATGGCCAAAACGTAGGCTCGCAGGCCAAAACAATGTATTAATACAAAAGTATCCATGAGCATAGTTTATCTTTTGAAATAGTAGAGGGAGCACGAACCACGTCTTCCTCTGGATTCTCTTCACCCGTGCAAAATGTGTAGATGACAAGCCTTAACTTCAACCTGCAATGGTGGCCCCCCCGAAGGGGTCAGTACAAGTACCGAGCGAGTAGCAGGCTGAATACGGAATAGCTAACGTTTCAAGTATAAGACCCAAACATAGGGTGATACTTATGTAAATAGTCTTTTCCCCCAAGTTAAGAAATACTTAGTAGTACATATACACTTGGAAAATACCCGATCCGTAGATCACCGTTTTATTTGGGAAAATATTAATAGTCAATATCCTTGACTAAAAACCCCAACCCACCCATATGCCTATGAGTGTACAGGACTCCTCCTTGTCCATACTTCAATATCATAATCTATGAGTTTTGAGGATCAAAATCCTTGGGTACTCCACCAAAATTGTATTTGAGTGTTAAGGACTTTTAGTCCTAGGGTCTTCCACCAATTATTATCCGAGTGTTAAGGACTTTAAGTCCTAGGGTCCTCCACTAATTTATAATCCGAGTGTTAAGGAATTTAAGTCCTAGGGTCCTCCATCAAAATATGAGTGTTAAGGAGTTTTAAGTTCTAGGGTCCTCCACCAAAATATGAGTGTTAAGGACTTTTAAGTCCTAGGGTCCTCCACCAAAATATGAGTGTTAAGGACTTTTAAGTCCTAGGGTCCTCCACCAAAATATGAATGTTAAGGACTTTAAGTCCTAGGGTCCTCCACCAATTTATAATCCTATGATCAACCTCCTATCAACCTAGATAGGGTCTATATCATATGATGGAGTATATGGCCCGGGAACACCCGGCCCACAGACTCCTACTACTCCAGCAAAGGCCCAACAGGCCCAGAAGGCCCAACAGGCCCAAATCACAGCGCCCAGTGTACCAAGCAGCCCGCGAGGCGCACCAGGGGTGCCTTCGCCCCCCTGGCCGAAGGCTCTAAACTCTCACAGAACGGGTTTCTCAAGCAAACTAAGAAACTGGGAAAAACGGCAGAGAACAGTAGCCCTCGGCACCCAGGGGTCCCCGGCACTCAGAGCCCTCGGCTAGTCCTCCGCAGCCGAGGGCACCTCTCCCGACAAAATATCCGCGCCACATGCGTACATATCACTGTACCCTGTACAACGTCCCATCCAAACAGCCGCATTAAATGCGGCCACATGCGGCTGCCAGCGCCAACCAGTTGAGGTGGCCTCTCGGCCAATGGGCGCTTGACACGTGTCCCTGTCCGGCATTTATTACTACTATAAATAGCACCCCTTTTCCCCATTTGTAACCAAGTCATAAACGCTCTACACTTCATAATATACTTTCTCTCTCTATATTTACTTGCTCTGACTTCTCTTTGATTACTCCCCGTAATAACCCCTCGGATAAGCTACCCCCCGGGTACACTTATCCATCATTTGGTGCTCTCGTTGAGAGTCGAACTATCAAGTAAGAAACCCTCCCCCTCCGCCAAACACTAGCCCTCTACCAAAATGGTGAGAACAACACGTGCCAACTCCAAAAACGTAGAAGACAAGAACCTGGCCCTCGGTGACGTCAACGCCCCCGAAGCCTCTCACAGGGCTCCCGAGGACGGTGTCATCGCCGGGCTGGAACAGGCGGCTGTCGACCTACGCCTTCAGATCCAGCAGAATGCCCCCGATGCCCGCCTCGGCATCGAGGCCAAGAAGAAAAACCGGAGCGATGACCAAGTCAGCCCTCCGGTCCTCACCATCGACGTTCATTCGGCGCTCTCCGCCTTCATCCAGACGCTCACTCAGAACCCAGGTGCCTTCGGCACCCTGGCTCCGGCTCAACCCCAGGTTGGGGAGAACATCATACTTCCCCCTCTGCCACACCCCTTCGGAAACCCCATCCCTCGGGTTAGGAATGACGAAGGGGTAGTGGCCCAAGATACAGCCTCCCAGGAAGTTCAGTCCCGGGACCGCCACTATGACAACAGAGAGAGGCCCCGCACTTCCGCCCTCAACCGGCTCGGAGGGGTGCAAGACCGCCGAGGGGTCCAAGACCGCCTCGGAGGAAAAGCACTCCAAAGGCCCCAGGAAAGCGGAGGGTCTGTCTCGAGGGCAGACGAGGAGCGTCCCCTCGGGACAAAGGCAAGGCACCCCTTCATGGCGACGATGCTCGCCACCAAATCAACCAGGCCCACTCGGCCCGGGTTTGTTCGCAGGGGGCGGAGACCCTCCCGAGGGACCCTCGGGACGAAATTATTGCGGCCCTCCAACGCCGGCTTGATGAAATGGAGGCCAACAAAGCTCACGCCACCACCTCCACCCCTCATTCAGACCTCAAATACGAGGCCATGATGGCCAAAATGGAGGAATTACAGAAGAAGGTAGCCGAGGGCTCCGGGGAACCCATCATCCAGCTCTGGACCCGGACGCCATTCACCCCAAGGGTATTGGCGGCCCGGATCCCGGAAAAATACCGAGGGCAACACATACAGCCCTACAACGGGAAGACGGACCCCCAGGAACATTACAGCAAATATCAGAACATCATGATGATGGTAGGGGCGTCAGACAAATATTTGTGTCGTTGGTTCCTCACCACCTTAGAGGGGCCGGCATACGAATGGTTCAACCGGTTCCCCGAAGGCTGCATTGATTCGTTGCAAGAACTCGCCCAGCGATTCTTGACGCAATTTGTCGGGAGGCGTCGCACGAGGAAGCACTTCTCTCACCTCCTAACCATACGCCAGAGGAGAGATGAGACCCTTCGGGACTTCCTGGAGCGCTGGAGAACGGAAGCCGACAAAGTCGACGGTGCTGACGACGAGACCCTCCTGCCCTCCTACAAACCATCCTCCGCACCGGCAACTTTTCAAGGAGCCTCATCATTGAACCCCCCCGCGACTACATAAGGGCCCTGCAGCGGGGGGACCGATATGCCGAGGCCGAGGAGGTGGAGAAATACCACCAGCATCCAGATCAGCAACCCCCGAAGGCTGACAACAAGAACAAGCGGGGGCCGGGGGCTCCTCCAAATCACCCCAAGGCTTCAGGACCCTCTGATGACCGCCCTCGGCAAGGCCAAGCCAAGCCCGGGGGAGGTTATAAGAGCAGCCCTAAGACTTGGGCACAGCCCATTCTCCTGGACCGCCCCCGGATACCATTGACGCACCCCGTCAGCATCATCCGTGATTTTGCCGAGGAGAGGGGCCTCGTTGAGCGCGATTCTCGCGCACCCCCGGAGGTACATGCTATCAACCCTTAGTTCCCCTACTGTCGTTTCCATCGGCATCAGGGGCACAGAACCGACGACTGCCACCAGCTAAAAACGGCCATCGAGAGATTGATACAAGCGGGGCACCTGTCCCAATTTGTTCAGAGCCCTCGGCAGGAGGGACCTTCTCATCAGGGACCTCCCCGAGGGCACCACACGAAGGTGAACGCTTGGGTGAACCCGAACACCATCCCCCTCGGCAAGAAGAGGGAGATCGGAAACTTGGAGGAGGAAGAGGAGGAGTACCCCCATTACCAGGAGAAAAAACGCCACATCCTCATGATCACCGGTGGCAATACAGGGGGCGATTCCACCAGCCAGCGGAAGAAGTGGGCTCAATCGCTTTACGTGGGGGAAGTCACTCATATGCCCCCGGTAAAGAGACTGAGGGAGGAACCCATCACCTTCACCAACGCAGATCTCCCTCCTACTTCTTCTCCTCACAGGGATGCCTTGGTGATTCGGACTGAAATAAACGACACCATCATTCACCGAACTTACATTGACACGGGCAGCTCCGTCAATGTAATGTACCTCAGCACCTTTAGAGAGCTGCATCTTGAGAGGGGGTCCCTTCGGCCCATTAAGACCCCTCTTGCCGGCTTCACCGGCGATACTATTGATTCCGAGGGGGTAATAACCCTCCCGGTAATCTTCAGCGACGGGCTCCATAGAGCCCAGCTCGAAGTGGAGTTCGTCGTCGTCAACATCGACTACGCCCACAACATCATCCTCGGCCGGCCAGCCCTCGAGGACCTTGAGGCCATCATCTCCATGAGGCACCTCTGCCTCAAGTTCCCCGCCGAGGGGGGCATTGGCTACTCCCCGGGGAATCAGAAAATTGCCTGCGCTTGCTATCTTCAAGTCACGAAGAGGGTA